TTTAGGGTTAAGGGTTTAGGGGGTAAGGAGTTCAAGGTTTAGGGTCTAGGGGGCTCGGGTTTGGGGATTAGAGTTTGGGGTTTCATGTACCTCCAAGAGCGCCCTAAACCCTAAACCCTAAACACTAAACCCGAAACCCTAAACAGTAGACCCTAAACCCTAAACACTAAACCCCAATAAACCCCAAACTCTAAACACTAAACCCGAAACCCTAAACAGTAGACCCTAAACCCTAAACCCTAAACCCATGGTAGAAGTAGGGTTTAGGGCTTTTTGACCCATGGCCTGGCGGCTACCTGGACGGTTTATGGGGCTCGGGGTTCGGGTCTACTGCCCTAAGGGTCCAAGTATAGAATAAATTTAGGTTTACGGTTTAGGGCGCTTTAGGGTGTAGGGATTAGGGTTTAGGGATTTAGGGTTTAGGGTATAGGGTTCGGGGCCAAGTACCTTTAATCATCAAGTACTCTCCCAAATGCTAACCTAGAGACCTACTATCCGCAACCCAAGTACCATATTATTGGGTCCTTTGGACCCTTAGGGCTGTTTCGGCTTTGGATTTGAGGTTTAGGGTCTGGGGCTTTGGGTTAGGGGTTTAGGGTTCAGAGCGCCCGTGGCCTGGAGATTACCATGACGGGGTTTAGGGTTTAGGGTGTACCTTAACACCAAAAAACCTACCTTTTCCGGGACTTGTATCAAGAAATCATAATAAGGCACCCTGGAACGGTAGGTTCTTTAGGGTCCAGGTAGGATTTAGGATTACTATGATGGCTATACTCCCAAAGGGTCCTCAGTATCTCTACAGGAATTTCGGGTTTCCATATTACGAACTGTTTTGGTTTGGGTGAGCATCCCTTATACATTATAGTTGCTCAGGCTCTTTGGGGCCAGGGTAAGCGCTTAGGCGTAAGAGTTTAGGGTTTCGGGTTTAGCAAGAGACAAATGTGTTGCGATCCCAGTAGCCACAAACACGTCAATGTCTCGTGACAGAGCAGTGTCTATCTTTCTGAGCAGCATGCCAGGCCTTAGTAGATTAAATCGCGGAATCA